CCCCCCCCCTAAAAACCAAGGCAACAAAAAAACCCCTTTTTAAAAAAACGGGGCCCCTTTTTTCTTTGTATAAAAAACATTGTCCAAACAAACCCTATGGGTCTTCTCGTTGGTTTTTTTTTTTTTTCCCCCCCCACATGCGGGGGGCCCCCCCAAAAAAAAAACAAAAACTCCCCCAAGGCTTTTGGGGTTTTTTTTTTTTTTTTTGCCCTTTTTCCCCTGTTTTTTTTTTTTTTGGGGCTAAAAAAATTTCCAAAAAGGCCCTTTAAACTATTAAAAAAATGTAAAAGAAAATAGTTCCCCATTTGGACCTAAAAAAGACTGCTTTTTTTTTCTTTTTTCCTTTTCCGTTTTCCCAATACCAACAAAAGATTTTTTTTGCCAAAACCCCGGAAAATGACTGCAAAACGCTTTTTTGCCAAAATTTCAAAGTTTTTTGTTTTTGCCGCGGGTAAAAAAAAAAAAAAAAAAGTTTAAAAAAATTGGTTTTAACTAAAAGGACTTCCACACTCCGCGCTTTTTCCAAAATTGGCGAAAGGTGTTAAAGAAAATTTGCGGCCCCTCAGGACATTTGGCCAAAACAGCCCCCGACCCTTTTTTGCCAAAAAAAAAAAAAAAAATTTTATGTAACTTTTTATTTTTTTCAAAAAAAAGAAAAAAAACAATCTTTTTCTGGATTTTTTTTTTTCTTTTTTTTTTTTTTTTTTAGGAAATTTCCAAACATTCCCCCTTTTCAGGGCTGTTTTTTTATAATAAATTAATTTTTCAAATTTAAACCCAAATTTAATGGAAATTTTTGGCATTTTCCCTTTTTTATTTCCGCCTGGGGGCCGAACGAGCGCAAAATTTCTTCTCCTCAAACAAACACAACAAACCGGAAAAAAGGAAAAAGGAAAGGGGAAAAAAAAAAAAAAAAAGGAAAAAGAAGAGATTTTTTTTTTTTGCCTTCGTCCGGCGCCCCCTCAGCCGAAAAAAAAGAAAATGTTCCCCCAAAAAAAAAAATTTCCACATAAAATTACATTTGAATTTTTTTTGTTAAATATAGCTTTGAAAAGAACGGAACTTTCTTGTTTTTTCTTATTTTTTTTTTTTCTTTTTTGGGTTTTGGAAAACATTTCCCTAAAAAAAAGAGAATTCCAATTTTTTTGGGTCCCCTTTTTGAAGGCTAAAATAATTTTTTCTTTTTTTTTTTTTTTTTTTTTTTGGCCAAAAAAAGGGTTGGGGGGGCTTGGTTTTTTTGGCCATTGGCCTTAGAGGGACATTTACTCCCCGCCAAAATTCTTTTTGGACAAAAAAAGCCGCGGGGGAAAGGGGTTTTTCCCCTTTTTTTAATACAGTTTTTTTTTTTTTTATTTTTTTTTTTTTTTACGTTACCCGGGGAAAAGAAAACTTTTTTGAAAATGCAAAAAAAAAAAACAGCGTTTCTCTTTTTTCTTTTGCCAGTTTCCCAAATCCGGGTGCCCCAAAAAAAAAAATGGTATGGGAGGGGCAGTCCCTTTTTTTTTTTTTTTTTTTTAGGTTTCCAATTGAAACCTAATTTCTTTTTTTTTAAAACATAGTAAAAAAGGCCTTTTTTTTCTTTTTTTTTGGGGATCAGCAAAAAAAAAACAGGCGAACAAAGGCAAAAACAGGCTTTTTTTGGAAAGTGCCCCCCCACAAAAAAAATGGGAAAAAAAAAAAAAACACCAAATAAAAAAAAAAGTTGTTCGATTTTTTAAGA